TGACTAGAGATCCGCAACTCGGCAAGTTACGTCGCCTCAGCTCGCTTTGCCGCGAGGCGAAGCAACATTTTCGAAGGCGACGTGGTGCACAATTTGACTAGTTATTCCATCTGTTTGCAACACAGCTCTTGCTAAATAAATATCATAACAAGTTAAAACAATAAAATAAAAAAAGATCATGACACAAAATGAATAACTATGATTTGGGAGCGTCTCATTTCAGGTACTTTGTTTATTTTATATTATAGACGCGTTGAGATGAAAATAAACAATTAATTCTTCAAACGAATTTTTTTTCCATTATTTCTTTTTCAACAGGCTCCCTATAACGAAAATGAAGAGCAACTTATTTTTTTCTTAAATAATAAATATTTTTTTAATATGAATTTTAGAATAGTTTCACATATTTTGAGTAATTTGTTTAACAGGCCACGTCTTATATATATCTAAAGCAGGAGAGTCTTATTTGTGTCCAAAGTAAAAATAAAATTTCAAAATCAAACAAGAGAAATGTCTTCTTTGATTCTTCAGACAAAGTTATTTTTGCTTACAAATGGCTATTCCAAAAAAGAAAACTTTTGAAGAATCGTTTGTTTTTCTAATTCGAGATATTTAAAACAACAACAGAATGAAAAATCAGCTACTATTTTGATTGAGCAACTAAGATGGTACACTACAGATAAGAGTACAATTGATGATAGATGATGAACTACTTAGACAATTAAATTATCAATCAGTATTATTGTTTAGAAGCATGTTGATATGCATTGATAGATTTTTCTTAGTAATGAATATCGCGATGCTTCCTTTATAATTCAGTCAGTTGATCTAAGCATAACATTTCTAACTAGATCGATAGAAAAACAGGTTTCACTTAAGTGTAATTATAGTCAACAAAACAATGTGTTGTAATCAATTACAGAAATAGTCACTCGTTTTTTTGAGAATGACCAATATCTGGGTAATTGATATTCACAAAGTTTTCGTATCGAATTTGACAATTCCGAGAAAACTCTTAAGCTATATAATAACTCTAAACATATTGGGTTTTAGATTATTTGGTTTGTTTGATTTGATTGTTTGGAATAAGTAAGGTTTACAAAAAAATATCGTATCTTATCTGATATTCACGGAATCGGATGAAATCAGCAAAATACATATAATTCCCACTCGGCGATGAAGTCACATACATATGAGATCTATTTGGAAAGATTGATATTTACATTCATAAGGTATTTTAGAGGATATTAGTTGTGAAAAAACTTTCGTTGGGAATTTTGTTTCCTTTCCTCCCCCTGCTCTGGTAGACTTCTAAAGGAAGAACGACGATAGTAAAAAAAATCTGTCCTCTAGAAAGAAAGGAATGGGAGGATTAAATCATCAACATAGGTTTAGCTTGGATCGATCTGTTATTCGAAATTGTTCGGAGTAGCAGTTGCTTTTAGTCAAAAATATCGTATATTTATCTAAATATAGAACACTTCTGTTGGAGTAACAAAAAATTATTTCAAGCATCTATTAATCATAAAAGCGATTGGATCATATCTAAAATTACGGTTGAAACTATGCTTTTGATCATAAAATATTTTAATCAATCGAGAGAAAGTCATTTTTACAGTAAAATAGTTAATGTATTTTCAATGATCATATATTAAAAATCATTGATTTTGTAAAAAAAAAAAATAGTGACTCTAAGTAAAAAAAAAGTTGTTGAAAATTATTGTTGCTAGCAAAAGTATTTTTCAAGTTGATAAACACCTTGAACAATACAATATTGTACAGAAAGAAATCATAACAGAGATAAACATTTTTAAGTTTCAATGGCGAATTTCTTTTTGTTTTGAGACAGTAACATATCAGAAAACGAAATAGTACGACGATTATGCTAAGTATCTCAAATGATAGTTATGCCATTCATTATGAAGATTTATAAGGCGATGATAGATTTTTAATATGGCAGTATATAGATAAATGATAAAAAATTATATACTAGTTGATGATTCTCTTATATGATTACCTAGAAATAAGAGAAGCGATAACAGTACTTTATGATGTAAAGTTTTGTTATTTTATTACATAAAGTGAAGTCCCTCTTGTTTGTTATTTTCACGTGAATATCTCTCACCTTATATTTCTAACAAATGTTTAATATTTTTGTTTCTATTATTCTTGTTCTTCAAAGATTTTCAAAGATGTGTAAAGTGCACAATTAGTGTTGACTATTAAATGTAAAAAAGGCGCCATTGATAGGACATTTAAGCGTTGAATTTTATATAAAAAAATACTATTTGTTGCTTATACAAAATTTGCTGATCTTTTATTTATTTCATGTGAGTTAAATGATTATTTACTTTCTTTGAGTTCATGATCACATTCAATGAATAAGTATGTACTAAATCTAGGTGAAAAAAGAGAAAACTATAGAGATTTGAGTTCCATGTTGAACAAGACGCATAGATAATTAGCAATATTCGAACAGCTTTTCACATTCAAATCTTCATTTTCGAGATGAAAGAAAAACTAGAACAATGAACTAAAATTCGAAAACAAAACACTGCATCATCAACAACTTTAGGATAAATTTAGCTTAAGAATCCTGATGTACGATATAAAAAAACAAACTTTGGAGCTGCCATATTCATTATGAATGATAAAAGTTTCCTCAACTTTAGAATACTTTTTTGCTTGAGTTTCAAAACCTTAGATATGGAAAACAAACTTTTGAGCTGCATTCTTCAATTTGAGCAATAAAATCTTTACAGAAGTTAAGATCATTTTTTGCTTGAATAGTCTAATCTTGGGTATAAAAAACAATGTTTGCATCTCTGTTCTTTGATTTGAGCGATAAAGCGTTTCCTAATATTAGAATACTTTTTTGCTTAAATATGCTAACATTGAGAATAAAAAAAAACTTTGGAGACGTCTTCTTTGATTTAAGCAATAAAATCTTTACTAACTTTAAAATATTTTCTTGTTGTAATATCCTAACTTCAGAGAAGAAAAATTTCAATCTTATACATATATATCTTTATACGTGTGTTACTCATTTGTCAATCAATTTTTTATCTTTTTATGTGTGACAACCTGACGAAGAAGGATGTGTCCTTCGAAACATCGTGAAATAAATAAATTATATAAAAAATGGAAGAGTAAAGCAATTCTGAGACAAATATTATATCCTTCCTAACAATCACTAAATCAGTTACAATTATCATAGCGAAAAAGCATAGTATTTATAGTGTCACAATTTGAATTTTTCTTTCGTCGTTGGTTAGTTAACAGAAACTTTGCGATTGACTTGCTAACGGATGATATATACTTTTGTTTTTTCTTCGAAAGAATAGCTGATATGCTTAAGAGCCAATCACAACGCGTCTGTTAACTAGCTAATGCGAAATGAACAATTGAAGTTTTAACACTATAAATACTGTGCTTTTTTAGTGTGATATTTGTAACTGATAATGATCTTAGATTAAATTGAAAGCGCGTATATTTCAATCTAACTAGAGCACTATGCTGTTTACGAAAGTTCTCAATTTTTTATTATAGTGCATCTCTCCAGCGATTCCACCTTTCAAGCATAAAAAAAAGCAGGTCTCATGATTACGCTAGTATATATGATCAAATGTTCTTTCCAATGCAATGTTCATTATGATGTCATAATACATTGTTCGATAGGTTCAAGATGGAACAGGACGATTTCATCAATTATTATGACGCTATGCTTAGCAATGTCGATGAAAATGACAAAAATTCAAATTGTGTCTACGAGTAGACAAAATTTTCAAAACAGAAAATGGCATTCGAAAGATCATGAATTTGAAAAAGTCTTTTATAATATCCTAGAATCACATAAGAGTGATTCTCTTTTTCAGTCTATAATCGTTCAGACTATCTTAGTCTGAGAAAATATCGACCTTTGCATATATGGTTTGTTAATGCTTTTTTAAAAAATTATCATAATGTTCCTTAGAAGAAATAGTCGACTTTTTAAGAATAATCCAATAATAACCGATATCCTATAAGTGATGACCTACGTTATTTTGTATTTTTGATGGTTTTGACACTAGTTTTCAATTTTGGTTCTCTTTTCACTAAGTAGAAAATTTAATTCACTATAAAACTATCCATTGTATCATTCAAAACTAGTTTTTATGGTGGCGTAAATTTCAAGAGATTGGCACTTATTGAATGGTCAATCTGTAAAATCATTGTTTTTCCAGTGATAAAAAAAAAACTTGTCGTATGAATATGTGTGCATCAAGATTAATGCTATAAGTAAAATATTTTACACCAAAAGATAGAAAATTTTATCCTTTATATGTTGATGATGTCATCATGGTTCTTTGTACTTTTGCTCAGAAGAACAAAAGTTTCTAGCACATATCTCATGGTGTTTTTGGATGTACTGTGACAAATAACTTTTTTCACAAATCAAGCATCTACAATAAAATACTGAATCTTGTGTAATAGAACGAAAAATTGGATTCTGTATACAAAGTGATATGCATATTTCGTTGTAAAATTGAAATATTTAAATTGTTTTATTTGAATCAATCTGAAATAATGACTCGAATCAATTTGACAATGTTGTTTTTCGGTGTTGTGACATGTTTCATTTCGAAAATTTTGCTCTGCGATATTTGTTTTAAACTTTAAAAATAGTAATAATTAGTACAGTGTTTTGTATATGATCTCGTTAACTTGACTCTGATGCGCGAAATCCTATTCGAAAGACCGAATTCGATGGTTTTGTAAAGAATGAAATTTTCTATTCAATGAAATCAAAACAAAATCTTATAATAATTCTTAAACACTTTAATAATAGTAAAATTAGGTTGTTTATTTTATGGAGCGTCCATTGTACTTTGTACATATTTAGAATAGACTGAATAAATCAACAGTAAGTACAAATTTATTATATCTATAAAAAAACAGATCCAAGAAGAAGAAAAAATAAAAGAATCGTTTTTGTCTTTTTTTCTTTATTTTTTTTATTGCTATTTAGGAATAATCTGACTGCTAATATTCATTGTATTCAATTGTGTTTGACATATACGTGTTGAATCAATGTGTCGACGTATAACATTGATTTTATGTGTATTCATACTTCGCATTTGATTAAAGTTATTGCGTTTTGTTGTCAAATCATTTTGCTAGAAGAGAAAAGAAAAAGATTTTCTTATAAAAAAAAACACAACTAGATCAATGAGAGTTGGAACCTATTCTTAGACTTTGTAATAGTAGCAACGCCTAGTTTAGTCCGTCGTGTTGCATATGCGTTAATGCAAAAACGAAGGAAAAAATTCTGTGAAAACTTTTTATCTAGTAACTCAAAACAACTAATATTTTGAGCAATATTTATGCTTTGTTTTACTCGGCTTTCTTCAATAAAGATATAGTTTCTTTACAAATAGTGATAAGTTTGATGTTTTCTTATTAGTTATCATTAGTTAAATAGAACTTGAAGGTTTCTGAATTTATATCAAGCTATAACTAAGTGCTAACAGAAAGACAAAATGAGCGACACAGTTCGATTTTTATACTAGACTTACAAGAAAAGTAGTAGCCCAACTGACACACGTGGATCTGAAATTTTGCCATAAATAAATCTAATGACTCTTAGAATATCTTGAAAGTTTCAGTTCAAAAGAATGTTCCTTTCTTGAGATATTGAACCTCTAAATAATAGTCACTTGCCATAGACATGCCACAAAAATCGACTTGACTTAAAAATTCAATATCTCGACAAAAAGGTATTTTCTTTAGCTGAAACTTTCAGAATATTCTATATGTCATTACAACAAAATTCCATTGTTTGATTTTTCAATAAACTCATAATAATGAAGCATAGCTCAGCTACAAATATCCATGGAGATTAATCTCTTTTTAGTCTCATTAAGGTGTTCGTGTAGATCCAATATGAACTTAAATGATGAGTTACAGTTGTCGTAGTTTGATCATAAGATCGTTGTCGACAAAACAGCTACAGCCACATGTAACCTTTTTCGATACTAATTATCGGTTCAGAAAATTGAACTCAAACTTTCCAATTAAGATATTTTTACTTGAGACCGGATTCAACTACTTATGATTGGCTAGCATATGATGGCCATAATAAAAATATTCAACATGATTCAAAACTCTCATCGTACTATGAACAAAAATTGTCAATGGAAAATTTAAAGCTCATATTTCTAGACCGTCTAAACTATGAAAATTGCTAACAACAAGAAAAATAGACTAGTTTCAATGTTCTAAAAAATTGATTCAAAAAAAAAACCCTGCCAGTTCCAAGTAGTCTTAGATTAATTTCATACTTGTTTATCAAGTATTTGTTTAAATTCATCAAATTTCTTTTTCTTTTCATCTAATGTTAATAACTCTTCATTTTCATTTTCATGTTCTTCTTCATTTTGATGCATAGCAAATAATTTTTCAGCATCAATTGATTTAAATTTAACATTTAATAAAGCATTATGTAATAATTGATGTTTTTTTCTTGCACAAACTAAATCAACAAATAATTTATCAATTGTATCACGTAGCTCAATCGATTGTTTAGCTTCTTGTTTTGATTGAAATGAACGTCGTTGAAGTTCACGTATTTCATTTTCAATTGAAGTTTTCATCTTTAATATATAATAAATATAAAAAAATAGACCTATTACTATGCATTTCAAAATATAATGTATTTCACTGTTTCTCTGAATAACATTTGATAGGAATAGCTTATATGAGTACTTGATGGAGATTTCCAGAAAAAGATATTCTGAAGCTATTTTCCTTTCGATTTAGATTTTTGATAGAATTAATCACTAAAAACAAAGCGTCTGCTCTTTCTAAATACGCAAGACCGACATTGCTAGTTTGTACTGCTCGACAGTTATAGAACTATTCCTGAGACACCCAGTTTCAACCACTTGATCTGTGGTCACTATAAAAAACAGCTAGACAAGGTTCATCCATTATATTGACTTGAATAGTCATATTTATTGTTAGGTTCAAAATGATCTAACACTTTTAGCTCAATATTTTTGGAATGTCAACTCCTTCGTTACATAGAGGCTGATTACGGAATTTGAGAAATATTGATATAACCGTGTCGAATCATTTAAAAATAAATATTACCGTGCGACTCAGCATGGTGAGTTATCCCTGTCTACCTGCTTTTCTTGATGATCACAGGTCAACTGTCTGAAATCGAGGAGTTTCAAATCAAGTTTTATAACATTTGAATAGAGCAAGCTAGGAATGACTGTCTTGCGTAGATCGAAAGAGAGTTATTCAGAAAAACAGCGCAGTCCATCATATTTTGACATGGAGAGTATATAAATTACTTGTTCTAGTTCATGTAAATCTTTTCTTAATTTCGATTGTTTTTCAGTAAATAAAGATCGTTGTTGCCAATGATCATCTTCATCTGTTTTTAATTCACTAAAATCATGAAAAATAAATTTAATTCATCAAATTAAAAAATATTTTCGTTTTAATTCGTACACTTGTGTAGCTGATAATGAATTATAAAATGCTTCATTCATTTGATGAAATTCACCAATACGTTTACGAAGATCATGAATTATTGGACGTTTTTGTTCTTGATTATTGATTAATTCTTCATATTGCATTTCCTTAATAGATTTCAAATAGGAAAATATTACCCGAAAGTAAATCTACTAGGTTCTATAATAAGACAAAATGGAATATTACAAGATTGAGGATAATAAGCAGAAATATTCAGATGAGAAAGGAACTTTTATACTTAATGGTGATTAAAAAGTAATTTGACAAAATATTCAGTCATTTTTCAATCTATTAAAGAAATCTGCATAAACATGAAAACTTTGGATAAGAATCAAACTTTTCGTAGAGCTTTTGATTTAGGAGTTATGAGCCGACCTTTTACAGGCGCGAAAGTTAAATTTGGATTGAGAAAATTGGCATTTTTTTGCAGATTGTTCTATCGAGAATATTGCCTAAATTAACATAATATTCCTTACCAAAATACTTATTGTTGACAAATTACTTGTTACAAACTAGTCATCAGTATACCTTTTTTTTTCGAGAAATGCTTGATCTTTCATTTGCTGTATTTGATTCTTAGCTAATGTTTTTAAAACTCTGCAGATTTCTTTAGGAGATTGACAAATGATTCAACTAGCGGTAGTACCAAGGTTGTTAACTATGAGGATTGAACTCCTCTCAAACCTCCTATGGGGTCGCTGTTATCAACAACTTTAATAATTTTCCGGTAGACTTAGCCTTCCTACGATGCAACTACTAGAATCTACATTTTATCAGATTACTTTAACACAACTAATATCTATTTTGTTTATATTTGGGCGATGTCATATATTCATTGGTAAAAAAATCTTCAAGCATGTCATTGAACTTTATTTCATCAATGTCGGAATCAAACGAAAATCGTAGTACTATCAAAATCATTCTTTAAGCATAGACAAAATTTCCAGTGTGATATTCTCCTTCTACAAACGGACAGTCGCGGAAGAACAATGAGGTTCACATATATAATAGGATTTGAAATTGATCATATACTTAATACAACAATAAACGCCGATCTTGCAATAAAGAATTATGTTTTTTATGATTGTGAAAAAGAAAAGTATTGTGAAGAATATTTCCCTATTGAAAAACATAAAAAAAGCATTTTTCAATTAAATGTGTGATCGATTTGAAAGCCATTCGCAAAACATTATTTATGAGTATTTTTTATCCAGCATAATAATCTTATGATGCAGAAAGAAGAAATATTTGATGCAGATAAACGATGAAAATTGAACTACAGTTAGCTAAAATTTGTGCCTTAATACATTAAACTTTTCTTTGAAATATAACGAAAAGAGAATCCACCATACGATGTACGATCTATCTGTAGCATTACTATATAATCAAATCAAAACTTAGTATATCAAAATTCTTCTAATATCTACTTGGATGTTTTTCCTGAATAAAAAATAAACTAGATTTAGGATATTTTTAAGCTTTATATTATCTATTTAGCAAAAATTCACGTGGTTTTCGGATCATTCATAAAGGACATTTAGGTTTCAGAAGGTTTTTAGCAAGAATCTATTCGCTGAAATATACTATTTCGTATTTGTATTAAATGATGATATACAGTAGCCACCAAAAGTTCCACTTCCAGCTAAAAAGTGAATTATTTAGTCTCATATTTTGAAGACAAATAGAACATGCTGAGTACTAATCGTAAGCAGTTAGCAGGACTTAGTCGACTTTCATGTGAATGAGATAGAAGGCAAACATAAGTTGTTTTTTTCTATCCAGACGAAGATATTTCATCATTAGTAAAAATCTTACAGCATTTGACTTTTCACTTGAAAATTTAATGGTGCTTATATCATCGATAAGAATATCATGTCAAACGATTGTAGTTTGCTTGATGTATGAAGTTATCTTTGGATATTCTTACGATGGAACTCGTGAAAAAGTGGCCTGCAAATCGGACTAATTACAACCATTCACCTGAAATTCTCTTCGGTGAGTTGTCTACTCCCATAAAGGATTCTCTGAAAACTTCATGACTATAATCATCAGGGCAGCGAAGATGTAGACTAATTTCGTTCCAGATAATGAAAACATCACAGCAAATTGAAGTCTCCTATTTGTGATACATTCAAGACATGTGGAGTTCTATTTATCAATAAAAGGATGAATATTGACACTTCAAAATAATGGCAAATACTCAATGTGTCAAAAAAGGCTTTTTTGAGCTCAACGGATCCAACTTCTGTTTTTGTACCAATATCAGATGAAAATATCCAAATTTACGTACTTTTAACGTGTTAGTGGCAGTTTTGGTGACTACTGCATATGGTTTATTAGAACTTCTATATAATTGTTCTGTATTTTCTAATGAACACTAAATAGTTTTTTTGCTCAGTAAGAAATTCGTTTTAGCATAGTAAATAGTTTGAAAAGCTCAGTAACTAATTTAAAAAGATTCCGTATTTTAGAGTGTGAATGAGAGCGTCAATGTTGACCTTCTTGACAGCTGCGCCCACACACTCACAAATTATAAAAATTTTGAGCAAACAAAATAGTTACCGAGCACTAAATTTTGTATTGATAGTTTGATTTATATACTGACTATTTACATATAACACTAAACATTTAATTTGTTTTCGTTTATTTGTAAGTGATGTGCAATAGAATTCTCAAAAGTTGCGCTGTTGAAAATACTCGTCATAACTTATTCAATCCGAGAATTCCATGAACAATACATAAAAAATGACGAAGAACAAACTTGTAGAAAATATCCTGATATCTTTTATCGATGATCCGTTTTCAGTAATTGAGTCAACAATTCCCTATATAACGTGTCGAAATCGCTTGTAGATTATTCACTACTGTAGTCTTTATGTGTTGTTTTTTTTCAAGTGTTTGTTGACAAGAAGAATCAGTTAAAATTATAAGTAATCTATTCTATTAATAATTCATTCATCTGAATACTTCGATATTTATTTTTTAACGAATATTTAATAACTTACTTGATTTATTAATGTTTTATCTAATTCATTAATTGGTGTTGTCTTTTGAAAATCTCGTATTAATTGAGCATAATAATCTCTTTTGTCATGTTCATAATTACAATCTAACATATCAAGCTGTAATTCAACTCTAGCATGTATATTATGATCAGCTTGAATAGAATTATTTGAATTTGAATCTTTTTTTGTTGATATTCCATTTGTATAATTATTATTATGATGTCGATTTGATTCATCAGGTGTTTGAACACGTGATAAATCCATTTGTCCATTTTGTATTGTTGTTTGCCATTGTTGTTCATATGTTTGACAATATGAATCTTAAAAGCAAAACAGAAAATTCATTATTCAGCTTTTGTTCGATTTGTTTTCTTTAACCTGAATAATTGGAATAGCAATCCGTTGAGTGTTTCTTTCCGTACTGTTTTTCAATTGTATTCTTTACTATCTGACTTTTAATTTCACTCGGATGTAAAACACTTTCAGTATATTCATTGCACATACGAATAATTGGACCAATTTCAAACTATACATAATACTAGAAATGATATTTTTTTTTTAATATTAATTTAATTATACCCGTTTTGGATCTGTAGACTTTTTTATTTCTTCTTCTTTACGTTTTTTAAAATCATTTGATAATAATGGAGATATATCATCAGATATAACATACTGTAAATAATAAAAAGAACTAATCAAATAAACAGAAACAAACCAATGTCTTACACGATCAGCATTTCCAATTAACTGTTGCCAAGATTCATTTTGCCAACGATTATCTTGTTTTTCAGAATCAGATGTACCACAAACTATGCTTGGTTGAAGTTTAAAATAATAACAAAGTGGCTAAAGAGAAAAAAAAGCAAAAGAATTAATATTGAATATTAATCTTCAATTACTTCGTGTAATCGAATTTTTCTTTTGAAAAAATCAATAGTTTAGTCATTTAAACCTTTTGACTGCTATTGCTCGATGAGGATAATTACGAGCGTCTAAATTTGTATGATTATTGTTATTACCAAATGCTGATTGCTCAACAAGATTGGGTTCTTTTTCTGGATGAATCGTCAGATAAAGAGATTTCATTTCTGTTATCATAAAATGATAATAACTAATGATGACTGAAGAGAGATGAAAACTTTTTCTTTTTATCAAAATCTACTTGCTACTATCCTCTATATACGAGATGAATTTGAAATCTTAGCTTTTAATAGTTACTGAAACGCAACTGATTGACGATCATGGATATCTTTGGCACTTTAGGTTTTCTTCTGAAATAATTCATAAGTCGAAGAATATTATTCTTACTTAAAATAATATCAGATCCTCTAACATATCTTTCAATTATTTATACCAAGTATGAGGATTAACTAGTGTATGATTCGAGAAATTCATTAAAATTGAGCTTCCGCTATTGAAAAATACATAGAATGAGGAAACAAGAAGATTCATTTATTCAACTATATCTTTTGTGATTAATATCAATCATACTCATGTAAGAATATAATAATGAAAATTTGAAGACAACATATCCAAAAACTAGATTTTACTAAGAATATTTTACATTCATTCTCATCACCAGTCATTTGACTTATTCTGCGTCTTTTTTTTACTTCATAAGCAATTGTCAGCAAAATTAATATCATATTTGTGATCAGGCAATAAATTTTGCTTTCGCCAGCTATTCAAAAGTTTAAAAGGCGTGCAGAATTCTGTATGCTGGTACCAATAAGGTTCAACATTTCGAGTTTGTTGAAAATGTTATATAAGATTTTGTAGTTGTTTCATGTGTAAGGCATGCTACACAAATTAATAATAGAAATTTGTAAAATATCTTGTACAATTAAAAATCAAAGTAAGCCTAGGCATCTATATCCACAAAAAGCTATACTTCAGTTGAAAACAACACACAAGCCTAATTAGAAAAGTTTCAAGACAAATAGATTTTGATGAGCAGAGCATTTATTTTCATAGACTGAAAATTCTCGAGTATTTTTCTGTAGGAGAAACTTAGGTTACAAAGGCTAAAAATGACGGCCTGTCTCAGTCGTAATATATCTCACAGAGCTGAAAGCTTGTTTTTCCGGATTTTAGATGCTAATTAGGATGTCTAAATTTTTTAAACCGTTTATATTGAAATGAAAACACAAAAATCCTGAAAGAAACATATTTCACATATTCTTTTTTTAATTTTTACGCTTGCATATTAATCCTTGAAATATGTCCAGTCGATAGAGAAAGCTTTGAAGGATAAATAAAGCAGAAAAAACAACAACGCTAGAAAATCTGGCAATGTTGTATCGGTCACACATAGATTCCTTCAATACTAATTGCTATAAATAAATAGACAATGTTTTGAAAAATAAAATAGAATACTTTTGCTAGCAAATTTCACCGGCTAAATGAAATACTACTCTATAGAGACAAGATCAAATTTATATCTAAGTACATTAGTGGAGAAGAAAATAACTTATGTCGGAATTCATAAGGTTTTTTTTCCTGTGGTATTTAATTCTATGCACTCGTTTATTTTGATAGAAACAGTAGCAAGTAGAATGAGAAATATCAGCGAAAACCCATACAACTTCAAAATGTCTCCAATTAGAACAAAACATTTGTGTACGAAAAAGCTAATCTTGAACATCTATTAACTCATTATTTTCCTATTTGATTTCATTACTTAATATTACTTATTTATGATAATTTTATTATAAAATAGCTTACCAATAAAACTCGTTCAACGCCCGATCGATTAGTTGGTTTTTCATTACTACTAATCGGTTGCATAGATTCTGGTTGAAGTTCACGACGAAGATTATTAGGATATAATAAATACAATAAATAAAATAATGAATAAATAGAAAGAGCAAATGTTGATGGTGTATCGAAGGAAACTAAAAATATTATATATAGATATGTATATTAAAAACAAAGAAAAAAACACAAATTTACGATTTGCTTTAACAAAATGATTGGCTGCAAATTTCAGAGCATCAATTAAAAGTGATATTCGATGATGAATAATATTGGGATTAATAAGAATAATCGAAGCAAGTGCAAGACAACTTAAGCCGTATATATCAGGTTCAAACTAGAATTTTTTTTTTAATTTTTTTTGAAAATAAAAAAACACAAATAGATATAAATTCCTTGCTTACATGAATTAATTGGCCAGCATAAGAAGGAAATAAAAGAATACGACTTTGTCGTTGAATATCAAATCGACCACCATTGATAGGTGATGTAGCTAATAATTTGAATATTTCAATAAAAATAATAGCCAAACGACGACGTGCTCCTTTTCGATGAACATTCGTTAGTGATGATGAAAGAAGAGATGAACGTTGATTATATATTAATAGATCATCATCATTACTATCCATTGTTTGAGATGCTGCATTCCAAATAAAATCGACAAGTGCCTATTTGCAAGACAAAAATTGCATCGATTACTTTATAGATGTAATCCGATCGACTCAATCGTCGCTCCTTCCCATAAGTATCTACTAAAAACTCTAACCACTGCTGAAATCAAGATCAGTTTTCAGGGATGTTCTTGTTTAGTTTTTTATTATCACACTCTCTACTATCATTTCAACATTTCACGAAAGTAGAAAATTTCAAAAAAGTATCTAAAATTGTCAACCGCCATCGATTATTGATATAATTCCGAAGAAAAAAAAATATCAAATACTTTAAAATTCATTATGCTTCCTATTTGTAAATATTTAAACAAAAATTCATACACATAGAGATCCTCGAAGATTTTTTAATACTAAATCCTAGATTTTAGTCTAACAGTTGAACATGCATTTATTTTGTTCCAATCCGAAACATAAAATTAAAACACAAGTTTACTCCTAGTTATGTCTACTAATGAAGCGTACATCACTAATATACAGTTGGTATCAAAATTATTAAACAGAGTTTATTTTCAATATTGTTCTACTATTATAGGAGAAAATGGTTTCAAACAAGAATATAAGAAAATAAAATTTATTATCAAGTTCCCAAGATACAAAGACTCTTAAAAACAAAAACCCTAGTTTTTTCATCACCTAGAGCGGATAAATATAATTTTGTTTAGACAACATAGAACAATAGAGCTAACAGTTTTCTACAAGATTGGACGTTTCCGAGTTGTCTGCAACATTTTTTAGCTGAGATACAGCAATCTTACGGAAGTACCTAATGTCATATTTTGACTATTTTCTATAGAAAAACCATTAATCAAATTGTTGTATCTCAATCAAAAAACGTCACAAAGAACTTGGTAATGTCTCATTTTGTAGAGAATAGTTTATTCTATCTTTCGCTTTGATATTCACTGTATACAATTAATCATCTTGTTTATCTTGATGATTAAATTCAATACTATTACATTTCTTCATTTATTTTTTATATGATTTCGAACAATACATTCTTTCTCGCTAAAACTGTAATAAACATTCATGATTGATAATCTTTTTTCAACAAAAAAATTCTGTAGAATTCCTTCGAGATTGAAATATGAAACACGATAGTGTTACTTTTTTTATTATCAACAAAACATTTGCATGATGCGTGTAAAGAAAATGAATAAAATATATATTAATTTCTTTTTCTTTTTTCTTATTACAGATAATGACATGCAATATTATTTGATACAATCTATAAAAAGAAAGATTTTTGATAATTATTACCTCGAAACATTCATTTGGACAGCGTCGAATAAGATCAAGAACATCATTCGAACCTTCCAAGAGATATTCATTAACCAAATTTTGAATTAGTTGACGATCATTGTCTAAGAAAGTGAATTCGTTTTAAATGATAATAAAGTCTAAATTAAAATCTATACCTTTATAAAGCCGCATTGATTTATCTGTAGACATAATACCTTCAGACCATTGTCGTCTATGATTGTTATTGTTATTATTATTATCATTACTATTATTAATAGTTGTTCTACTGGATAACATTATATTCTAGAACAACGAAAAAGAAACATATATTGGATTCGCTTGATTTATTTTATTTTAATATGCTTAGTTATCTTGTTGAAACTAAGAAAAAAAAATCTAAGTAGACAGTTTACTGTAAGCTATTTAAAACAATACAAACAAATACGAAAAAAAAAAGGAATGAAATAAAATTAGATTTTCTTTATTGTGATGATAATGCTTGATCTTTTGTATGATTTATTCGTCTTTCTCGCCAACGTCTAAAAATAAAAAATAAATATTCATTTAAATAATAGACAACAAATATAATAAATCTTACTTAGCTTCAGCATATTCAGTTTCATATTGAAAACGAATTATACGAGGTATTGGTGAATAATCACGAATAAGAAAATATTTTCCTAATGGATGTTCGATTATAAATGGAACATATATTGTAAAATGATAATTAACAAAATAATACCAAACACAACCTAATGCTGTTCCAACCAATGCACCAACCACAACTTGTGCAATAGTATGATAATGTAGATATACTCTAAATAAATAAATCGAAGTTCGAAGTTGTTTTTTTATTTGTTATCAAAGTTTGTCTATCTACCGGCTATATGCGACTATAGCAGCAACGATAAGTTGTGAAAAGACAAGAAAACGATTACGTAACGAACGAACACGTGGTGTGCCAGGCATTTGAGATCTAATATTGATTAAAAGAATTTTTTATTACAAAAAAAAAGAAGAATTAATTGATTTACTTAAGAATAATAAATATTGCCAAATATGTCATAAAATAAAAGAATGTTTGAGCATGATCACTCGGCATACCATGGACTTCATATAAACCCATCCGATCTCGAGCTTAAAATATATTATAGTCATTTACGAGGAAATCTTCTCAGATGTTCTCTGATTATTTCAATGTTTTTTTTTGCCTGTGGATATACTGCATAGTGTTCTAATAAAAAATCTAAAAAGATCTGAGTAAACTACCGAATTTTTAATATGTCTATATCTAGAGACCCTATGCTATCAAAAAACTCGTCGTTTTTAATTTTGATCTGAAACTTTTCACAAATAGAGAACTCAACTAGACTAGAATCCATAGAAAAATTCGAAAGTTCATAAACAAAGTCCGCTTGAGATATAAAGCTTTCAAAATATCGATCCTTTTCATGGATAGTGTATACAACATACATTTTTTCTGAAAGCTAGTCTAATTGAAATTCGGAAATATGAGTTTTCCGAAAACCTGAGACGTCTAGAAAACAGATATAGTAAAAACTTGATAGCTTAGTCAAATGTCAATGTGCACTCAAATTCTTTTAGGGTTTTTATTTAGATTACTACGTAGTATCTACAGGCAAGAAAAAACATTGAAATCGGAAGGGGATATCTGAAAAGGTTTCCTCGTTAGTTGAAAGATCTTCTTGAAATTATCTTGTCTACAACACTCAATATAAATAGGATTGGTCTCGATGTTAGTACAATTTTTGTTTATAAAAAAAAAACTCAAAATTAGTCAGCAATTTTGTTTTTGTCATGTTTATATATTGCTAGCAGTTTAATTTCTAGTTTTTTTTCTTCTTGAACGCTTTCTTACACATAATTGAAGATCGACTAATTTTTATTTCAATGTCGTAAATGTTTTTATAATACTTAATTGTAATGAAAGTTACCAATTAGATGAAAATCTAAACTCTGCATCAGCTAAAATATTTCTTCTCTTTGACCCAACGAATAATAATATATCACGCAACGATGTGAATGAGTGACAGATATAATTAACATAAAAAGATAGTAATTTTATCTTTAAGATAATCTTTCCCACTAATTGTTTTCAATGCAAGTAAATTGATGAGCATTTTTTTTTTATTTCATGGATTATATCATAGAACACGTTTATCATTTCTTCTAATTATTAAATTTCTTTTTCTTTTAAATGTTATTATTAGAAATAAAAATTTTCATTAGATATTATTTTCTATATTTAACTCTACTAATAGTTACAATTTTTGAGATTAAACATCACGTTATTGGATTTAATTGGTTGAATAAACCAACTTGAAAATCGATTTGTTTATTTTCGAACAATGGCGGATCTCACAAACATGGCAGTCCGACGATCACCCATCTCCTCACAAATAGAAGTAATAAAGAAATCATTTTGAGAGTCATTCGAATAAAATATTTAAACAAAAGAATTACAATTTCACCATCTAAGAATTCATCGAGATATTAAATACACTTGTTAAAGTACGATTTCAATGCTAAGTAAAATTCTCTGATGAGTAGCAGCTACTGACTCAAAAAGGGTATTAATCATTAATTCTATTAGTTGATGATTACCTAAAAGATAAATAAAAGTTTTAAGTAATTCAACTTTCGACATGAAAAGAGACAACATAAGTGTCTAAATATTTCGTCAACATAGTCTGAACTTTCCAGTTAATAATGTACGAAAAACCTCTAAGCATATATTGGTAAAATTTGAATTTTATTTTTAAGACTGCTTTGTTGAGTATTGATCCAACTACTTTTATCGACTAAAATCTCTCTTCAAATAGGTAACTTTAAAAAACAATCGAAGCAAATTCAATGGACAACAATATCAGAAAAAAAAGTGGCTTCATACATTAGTTATGATGCAGTTATCGATTTTTAAAAATAATTTCATTCTTTAATTGATCAATTTTTCTCTAATCTAAGCGTCATTTGAATCTTTGGATTTTATTACTTGTTGTTTTATTTTAATAAAAATTATCTTGTTCANCATTGAGCCAAGGTATTTGAAATTGTCTACCCATTCAATGTCTTCTCTGTTTATTTGCATAGATTTGTTGTTGGTATTTTGGTTTGTTAGTGCTTGTGTCTTTTTGATGTTGACTTGTAAGCCTATTTTGTCGGCCCATTTCGTCGTTGTGATCAGTTGTGTTTGTGCTCTGTCAAGGTTACTTTCGAACAGAGCGATATCATCAGCAAAGGCTAGATCGTGAATTGTTGTTGCTGGTTGTCGTTTTGATTGTCGTTGATTTGCTACAAATCCATGTTCGCCTTGTTCATTTGTGTGTTGTCTTTCCGCATTTTTCATGACGTAATCGATTACAATGATGAAGAGGAATGGTGCCAATGTATCACCTTGTAAAACACCAGTAGTAACGTCGAATTCTTCTGTGAGTTGACCATCCACCAGAACTGCACTTCGTGAGTTGTTGTATATAGATTGAATTGCGTTGGTCATTTTCATTGGTATTCCATAATGCCTGAGAATTTCAAACATTGTTTTTCTTTCAATAGAGTCAAAGGCTTTTTTGAAGTCTATGAAGGTGATGTAGATTGGTAGTTGTTTATCCAATGCACCTTCTAGTATGCGACGTATTGTATGTATTTGATCTATGCAGCTTCTTTCTTTCCGGAAGCCAGCTTGATTTATTCGAAGAATTGAATCAAGTGGTTCCCGTATTCTATTTAGAAGTATTCGATTGTATGTTTTGGCTGCAACAGACATGAGACTTATACCTCTGTAGTTCGACTTGAGAGTTTTATCTCCCTTTTTGGGTATAGGGATGATGATGTTGGTGTTGAATTGTGTTGGTATTGTTTGATTTTCGAATATTTCGTTGCATATATTGCATAGCTTGTGAACGATCCAATCGCCACCGTACTTGAGTACTTCTGGTGTTATGATGTGATCGAGTCCGGGAGATTTTCCATTTTTTAGCTGTTTGATTGCTTGTTGTACTTCGTCTATTGAGATTGGACCTGTGTTGATTGGAAGATCTTTGTCGGCTGGTGGAATTGTTTGCGTAGTTGGAGATGTATTTGACTTGATGTTGAGTAGTTCTTCAAAGTATCGTTTCCATTCGTTCATCAGTTCTGCGGTTGAGTTTATTTTGGAACCGTTTGTGCTTTTGATCTTTGTGGCGTTGTTGTACCTACGTTTTCCACTAATTTGATCTATGAGGTTCCACGTGGTTCTTGATTGATTTGAGATTGCGGCTTGATTTAATTGTTCAAGTTTGTCTTCAAGGAATTGGATTTTGTCGTTTTGGTAAGATGTGTTGAGATGTTTGTTGAGTTGGTGCCAGGTGTTTTTGTTGTTTGAGTTTGGTTTTTGTTTGAATATGTTTTTGGCTTTGTTTCGTTTTCTCAAAAGGTTGATGGTTTCGTCTGATACCCAGTTCTTTTTGATTGATCGTTTTGTTTGTCCGACTAGTTTTTCTGTTGTTTGTTTTATACTTTCTACGAAATTGTCATATTCTGCTTGTATGTTGTTGTTATCGAGGTTGTTTGCGTTGAGGACGTCGTAACGATTTTGGACTTCGATGTTGAATTGAGATTGGAGACTGCAGTTGTTTTTGAGTTTGCTCCAGTCGTATGTGATGCGTTGGCATTTGTTGTTTTTTGGTGCTCGTAGGCTGATAGACATTTTCGCACTCACTATTCGATGGTCGGAATGTAGTTCGACCGTGTTGTACGCGCGAGCATTTCGGATTGAGTTTAACCATTTCCCATTCATGACTATATGTTCTAATTCTCGCCCGTGATCCACATGCAAGACTCGGCTNCAATGTTTATTGCATGCTGATATAAGTAAAAAAAGTAGTCTTCCCAAAAATTGGGTAGCGAGGTAGAAATCTCCTACGAAAGTATGTAAAAATTTGGCCTTTTTTTTAAATTTATATATATTCTGAAAGAGGAAACTTCGCTGCATCTTCCTATGATAAAAACTCGACTTCGATTACTTTACCAAAAAATGGATTTTCTAAGGTGGGGGGGGGGGAGGCTTAAATGAGGGATAAAAATTTAAGACAATAGCTCTTTATGGATAGTTTGACTCGAACATGTTCTATGAAAGACATCAAATGATCATTTCGATAACTTTCAGAATGCGTTGCAGACCTCATCATGGAGTATCTCTAGGTCTTAAATCAGTTTTCGACCAAGGCGATGTTCATTTGATGAGTAATACAAAAGTCTAGCATAATTTCGTTTTATGAATCTTCCTTTTTGTGACTTTCGAAATATTACTGGATTTTTTCAACAAAAAGAAAAAACTATGGTCACTTGGAAAATCGATTTTTGACTTCAAACTTTGCATGAGCGAATTTCTTAATGGGATTAGTTGATTGTGTAAGTTGTAACTTTTCTAATATTTCTTATCGTGAGATATTTGAAATTCTCTCATATATATCTAATGAAGTTAGAAGTTTAGTAATAATAATTATGTATAATTATTATTGTTTAATCATGACTAATGATATTCAAAAAGGACTTCTTACAAAAATATATCCCGTTTGATTCTGCATTGAATAGTATGTAGAAGATATTTTAATCATTTTGGAATAGCAAAAAATTGATAAGATATTAAAAGTGCTTGAAAATTTTCTACGCTACAACAAAATGATTCATACAATAGACGCTGAAATGACTAAACTTAAGAGATCATTTTTATTAGGTAAGAGAATCTCTCTAGGTGTCAAGTCGCGTTTCTGTCGAGACGATATTCGTTTGATAAGTAATAGAAAAGTCTAGAATGGCTTGATTTTTCAGGAATTCGTTCTCGAAATGAGTTTTTCAACAAAAATCTGTTATTCCTTTTAGGTCACGTGGAAAATCGTGTTTCGAATTTCATATTTGCATGAATGAAATCCTAGATGAGATTTGATGATTGTACAAGTTTTAGATTTTCTAGTATTTCATTTCTGGAGATGAATAAAATTTGATTTTAAAAACATGAGAAAATTTCGAACATCTCAAGATATGAAATACTAGAAAAGTTACAGCTTTCCCAATCAACTTATCTCATTAAGAACTTTGCTCATGCAAAGTTTGAAGTCCAAAGTCGATTTTCTATGTGATAACAGCTTTTCATTAAAAAAAACTAAGTAAAATTTTGATATCTGAAGAACGTAGGTCTGTAAAACTAATCATTCTAGGCTTTTCTATTACTCATCAAATGAATATCCCTCCGGTCGAAAATCGAATTAACATCTAGAGAGGTTCCCTCGTGAGTTTTGTTGTCTATTTGAAGACTATCAAAATAATTATCCAATATCTCTCATAGACCGTGCTAGAGTAAAGCTATCTACAAAGGAGATAATGACTTAAACTTTTATCTCTCTGCTTTATATTTAATTTACTTAGTGAAAAAATTTCGATGAAATTTCGGTAAATCATTTAAAACTTGTAATAGAAATGGATGTCTAGGTTTTGAAGCAATAAAATCATTCGATAATCCAACAGGTTTGGTTTGTGGTAGAATAAATTCATAATTTAATAATTGATCAAGCGATTTTAAACAAATAATATCTAAATCTAAATAAATTCCTCCATATACATACAATACAACAAGACGTATAACATCAGCGCGCTGAATATCATATGGATATGAATCATATGTTGATAAAATACAAGGAAATTCTTTTTCAACTAAACGACGTCCTTCTTTATCGGTCCAAAAATAATATTTATAATCTGAATGAAATGTTCGACAACTATTCATTGCTTGCTGCCATTTAAATGGTATTGAGTGTATATCACGATATGTTTGATGTATTATTCGTGGTATTTGACTATTTGTATTGTTTAATAATGAAGTCGTAGGAAAATTCAGAGATTTGATTGTACTTTGACGCCATACATAAGCAGCATGAAACCATGGCCAAATAATATATAGGAAGAGAATAACAAGAATCAACAATGACGAAAGACAAATTGTTCGCAATCGAACTATCATTCCAAAATTTACTATTAACAAAAAAACAAATGGTGAAAATTTGTACTAAGTCCTTGATTTTATTGTGATACCCATTGTTCACGATTTCAAATCTACTATTATTAATACATCGTGTTCTCTACAGATAACAAGATATTTCATGTCGCACATTGGTTCGTGCTACTGACAGTAAAACAAGTAGTAGTTTTACAGTCAGTGAACAACTGTTGATATCCTAAAGTAGAATGACGGTCCGAGACCTAAGTACCAAACTACCGTCGATTAATTACTGACCAATACTACTGGTATGGTGCATATTATATCAAATGATCAATTGGCGATTTTGTTCGGTTTAAGAGTGCTTTCCCTTTGCCATCCCCCGCTTTTCGGAGTCTCTGAAGAACAGTTTATCAAAAACGTTTGAAATTTTCCTAGTGGATAGATCTTGACGAGCACAGCAAAAGTTGTCATCTGAGATGCTGTCTTCTGTGAGATACTGGGATCACAATAGCGAAAAAGGCTCCCCCTGCTTCTGCGAGATGCTATTTTCGATAAAGAAAACTAAAATATCAAAGGCATCCTAAAAAAACGTATGTGTTTTTACAAGATTTACTAAAAATGAGCAGAGCAATATTTTTTGAAACAAAAAACATCCATTCGAAACAGTTTATTGTATATGTGAAAAAGTTTCAGCTCGATCGGACGTACCAGATTGGAGAACCAGGGATTGTTTCCGCACTTTTTTTTCTATGAAAAAAATTGGTTTCAGAAAAACGCGAAATAATATACAGTTTTCACTAATTTGATTTCTTCTCAAAATTTTAGAATATTTAAAGATAATTTTTCGATCTCAAAATGTACTCGAGAGATTGATACTACGTAAAACTATATAATGGCCACGCAAAAAAAAACAAAAAAAGATATCGTCGGATAAGATTGTAAATGTGTCACACATTTGGATATCATTTTCAATAGAATAAAAAGATAGAACGCGCAATTCTGCACATTTCTGTGTATTTATTTTTTCTTTGTTAAACGCAATAAAGAAATCTTGAGGATCAAATAGTCTTTGGGGTCAATCAATTTTGGAGATTTTCATTTTAAGTTTTCTTTTGAAAATTCAAATACAAAAACTAATAGTTTAAATCGACGTAGTTCTTCAGGCTCTACAAAATGACATATCTAATAGCTTATATAGGATCACACAACAGTAAAAGAAAACGTGGAGAATAATAAAGTCTTGCCAAGGTTTATAAAAAAAAAGAAGTTTATCTCTTGGTAGTAAACCGATAATGAGAGTTTATTATTCTGCACTTTTCTATACACTGAGGTATGATATTGCATTTGTATGATCTTACATGAAATTAATGTTAAATATAATTCCTGTATCAATTTTTATAGCATGAAAAATTTCATCAAGCTACGCTACTAGCTTTCATACTGATTTTATTATAGAAAAATTGCACGTGCGATAATAATTATTGGAAACGTCTAAAAGTGATAGACTTCAATAAGACTATTGAGTTCATGAAAATTGTTTTTCAACTTCAGAAAAACAAAAATAAATAGACAGATATTTGTAGAATTTTATGCTCTATCTTTATACCATATTGAAAGTATGAGATCTAAGAGTTTGGTCAATTTATGATCTTATCTAGTGGTGTTATTTGGGGTGATAAAAGAGAAGGGAATACCTTTAAATGAATTAGGATATTTAGAATTCTGCATTTGTCAAATATAAATAATGAAACTCACGTTTATTCGAATCGGTCTCGAACATTTTGTTTTTTATAAAAAGTAAAATTAAATTAACAAAATAATTTAATACTTTGAAAATTGTTAAAGTATTTTTTGCATGCCGATTTGATTTAATAGTGTGACTAGTTTATTTTAAACTAATAATAAAACAGAAAAACACTGAAGACCTATATAAAATCACACGTGTGATCGAAACCATATATTTACAAGCTTCGCCGTTAAATGATTATTTCTATATGATCTCTACTCATTTTAGATATATATATATATACTTTTAGATATAATACTACGTTTTATAATCTATTGTAAATTGCAATAAAGTTAATTTTATTTTAACTTAATTGATATAGAAATAAAAGATTGAGATTTTCATCAAATATAAGAGTTACATGCGTTATATTCTTCTATTTCTACAAATATAGAATGATAAAATAAGAACGCAATTTATGTAACTCCAGGGCAAAGCAGTAAAGATAACAGAGAGAAAGAAAAGAGTACATTTATATACATAAAAGAAAATTAGAACTAATCATGCATGACTACAAGCCATGATTCTTAATTATTTTTGATAATAAAAATCCAATTCGGTCGAAAAATGAACAACATAACTTAAGGTAATCCATTTCGTTCTATATTAATTGCTTAAATTCTACCAATAGAAAACTAACGAAGATAAATTATTATTATCATGTATATAATATCAAAAATTATGATAACTCTTCGAATAAACTAACATTATTAAATGTTCACATCAGACTAGTAACTACAAGAAAACTATTATTACTCTATTAATTAATTGAAAATAAATTGCAGGTCTACAGTGATGGTCGATACTGATGATACATTATTTTTCTAACATCTTAAAAGAAGTTCTATATATTGAGATGTGAGTCTTGACAAAATTTACCTTATGTTTCATAGTTTATTTGCATCAAGTGTCATCTCTTTGCGAGGTAAACTTGATGTATTAGATAAAAATGATTCACGTATATTTTACGATAAAGAATGACACATCTTATAATTTCGAAAAGAAAAATTATTTTGTTACAGTGTTTAGATGAAGTTTGACTTATGTGTATTTTTTTTTCAATGAAGTCTACTATCAATTTAGAGTATCTTGAGTGTGTTTTGTTATCTAGCACAGCAAGTTCATGGTTCGAAGGGGTGATAATAAATACAAATAAACTATGAAACAAAAGCCATATTTTGCTAAAATATCTATCTCAATTCATTGAACCCATTTTGAGATTATTAAAACAACAATATCAGGTATGCGCTATATGATCAATCGTAAGAGCTACTCTATTCATATATTCATACAGGCATTGGCTGTACGGCGAATCCAAGATTCACCCGAAAGATTTACAAGAAAATCTCATATACAGTATAGACAAAAACTACGTTCGACATTGACAAAAATTGGAAGAATTAGAAGAAACACTTTTTGTTTGAGTAAATTTTGAATGTAAATAAAATATTTGTTTTACTTATTAGCAAATTTTAGCATGTAAATTATCATAAAATTGTTTATATTATACAAAAAAATAAAACATTAATAATAATAATTTAACGATTTTTTTTGACTATGAGAATAAACTACCTTATCAACTTACTTGCAAAATATTTTTAATGCACGTGGAAAAATATTTGTTATCTAATAACGTGGGTAAACACAAAATCTATAATGTACTTCTTGCACGTTTACAGCTGATGGAAAAAGAAGAATATTAATCATACAAAAATTTCTGAAAAAAAAACATGAAAAACATGTATTTTAAATATAGAAAAACCGATAAAAATAATCTTACCAGTTGTCACTTCGAACTTCAACGATTTCTTTATATTATAATATAAGCATAATATCTGTTTTGATATATATTTCTTTGTTTGTCTGTTTGTTTGATATTTACGTATTGTACAGGTAAATTTATGCCTAATATATCATATTCAAATATTAGACATCGAAATCATCAATATGACTAATAAGAAATATCGTTCTTAGATATCATGGCACCGTGAAACATGAGACTAATCGTATATTATAATACACTTGTTTCAAGGATCAAAATAATGTTCTGTACACTCAGAAGACAAGTATCACTACGTATGTTTTTTGCTATTTCAAGCATGAGGTTTATTATAAAGTACGATCGATGCACTTGTCGTATGCCACGTATAAGTCACGGTTGAAAAACATATAAAAAAAATATTCAAAACAAACAAATAAGTAATCGTAATTAAGCTATATATAATTCACAAAAAGGAAATTTAACAAAATTGTGTTGACTTAACAAATACTTGAAATATTATTGAGAACAAGGAACGTCTTCTTAGTACACGTTTGTTTGTTAATCATCAATATTAAGAAAATTATCAGTAATGAAACAATATGATACGATAGAGATGTTAACAATGTCTGAGTGTTGATTTGAAAAAAAAATATTTAAAAAAGTTTTACAACCCCAGAATTGAACAGTTTCATGTCAGAATCTTTACATACAATAGAACAGTTGGTCATTGCATTGACTTGAGAAAAATTTTTTAAACCAATAATGTTTACTAAAACTCGTCGGCTCTAATGTTCACTAACGTTACATAAGAGATAAACGAAATTGAGTATATTCCAAAGATTAGTTTAATTGTGTTGGCGAATAAATGAAATTTTCTACACTGTGTAAAACATAATAACACACAACGAGAGATGTCAGCTCTGAGGTAAAATTATAGCGAATAACGAGACTACAATACTTCGAAGTACGAATGAAGTACAGGCAAAGTATTGATGAAATATGATACTTGACTATCCTTTCTTCGTACGTCGGGGTACTGAAGTATTGCTTCTTTCTTCCTTGAGTAAAGTACATTGGAAGCGACGCCAAAGATGGTGCTACCCTCGATGAGTTGTACTTCTGAGTTGGTAGCCCTGCACAAAACGTACATGAAATTTGTGCTGATACTAATAATAATCTCTTTCTCAGCAACATAATCGTGTTCATTACTATGTTAAAAATCCCGAAAAATATGTCATTACTAATATAGAAGATCATTTCAAATATTATCAATTAAAGAAACGATGAAAAGTAGATCTAAATAAGAGAAAAAATCCGAAATCCAGACAGCATTTTCAAAAATCTCCTACGAGTAAATTATTTATTAAACAAGTTTAAAACGTCAGAAATATCAGTATTTCTAGCTAATACTGTAAATTATTAATATTGCTTCACTTCAATAATATCCATACCACTTATCCAAGAAAAAACATTTAAATCAAATCGAGTTTTTTTTACTAATTAAAAATCGATTAAAATCAGGTTTCTTTTTTGCAGGTCTTCTCTTTGCAAACATACTGCAATTGTGACTTAATAATGTCTTATGTATGGATGAAGATATTAATTCAATTGAAAAAAATCCTTTTTATTAAATTTATTACCCAAATAAAACTGGCGAATCGTTTGTATAGTGAAACCTCTTTGTTGCTACTGATTGCAAGATGCATAAATGTTCCTTGAGAAAATGGATAAAGTTTGAGTCGAGCAATCTAATTTGAAGTCTACTAATAACCTATGATCATTCTGAAAAGAGTTCGAAGCATTAGCATATTGCTGCGGAAATATTGCGTTTTCACACTATTTTCTAACTTGATATTGTGATCCTTCTCAGGAACATCCGAAAAATTGATTCTTAAATTTCGACTTGAGACATTGTACAAAAAAACCTTTAGCAAGAATAGTTTATGATGGAAATTTCAGATCTTCTTCTTTCATGAAATAAAAACATTGGAGCTATATGTATAAACTAGATAGTATTCAAGTTTTACTCGACTACGAAATGTGATCCGAAATTTGGAACGTCTATTATACAAAAACATCAATATTTCATAAAAATCAAATAATCATTGTGACGATGTATCACAAAACATTTCTCTCCAACAAATATTTACATTTTACTAGAATCAAGTTGGTTTTGTCGTTATAAATTGAAAAAACTACGTATCGATTAACCAGCGGATCAAAAACAACATAAAAGTGAAAAGTATCTATTTCAAAATTCATTATTACGAGAACTCTACTAACAGGTATCAATCTGTTTCTAATGAAAATTACTGATTGGTCGCTTGATTATCACTTTGATTGATTATCTCTCATGAACTGTATTCATAGCTATCTTCTATATGGGCAAAACGAGCAGTAACTAGCTTTTGTTGCTATCATTATTTGAAGTGTCTTGGCGCTTGAAAAATAATCAAGGAAATAAAAATTTACTTTTTTGCGTGGCTTTCTCTAAAAACAGGTGTAGATTCGATCTAATATTTTCTAACTCTTCGTTTTCAAGATTATTGCGACGGAAAATAATAATTTTTGGATCCATATATCTAGTAAGCAAAAAAAAACATAGAAAGCTTGCAAAATACTACATAAATTCAGTCCGAAGCGATTCCAAATTTCGGCAATCGGTTTTAAATTAACATACGAACGATAAACAATTCCACCTAGAATTGTTTTTTTCCTATCGCAAGTCTTCCTTTATGTTGGGTAAAAAGGTAGAAGTAAAATCGTCAGAATCGCTATTTTGCGGAATCTACTGGAGATGAGGAAAAACTCACATTGAAGATAAAAAAAAAACGTTTGTATCATTTCCAGACATCGATCTCTCAGGCAAAGTTCTAAATAATTACTCGCGACTTAGCGTTCGTTAGATGACTGCGTCGTAGTTTAAATTTTCTTACAGCAACAGATATGCAAAGTATCCAGGCAAGATGCGTATGTGATCCACTACAGGAATGCTGTGCAAAGCATACTATTTTCACGATATTCATAAATTATTATAGTGTACATAATGCAGATAGTCCCAATTCCTAAGTCATTGATCAATTAGGAAATTTTTCTCGTGAAGCCTGTAAAAAGTATAGTCAGCATAGATCTTAGCATGCATTACTAAATGATCTCGTACTTATCATCATTTATTCATATTACTATTTGTTTTTCGGATTTAGCAGAAATTCCTATCAAATTTATAGACAACCTTAGCTTCTGACTTATGCTCAGAAAATTTCGTGATGTTCGTCAAAGGTAACTAGCCATCTCAAGTACATATTAATGAAATCTTTCGTAGAAATTAGTCCTGGTCAGTTTCTATCGCTCATACATTCATTTAACAGATTCGAATTGACTCAGTGTTTTATTCGGAATGAAAGCCATGGAGCGGCGCTTTCATGGAGTTGGTGGTTATTGTAGCATGTACTATGTGTCTCTGCTCCCAAAAATAGATGTTCGCCTTCCAAGAGTTCTAAATTGCCCCTCCAGAATAGAAAAACTGAGTAGAACACTGTAACTAATGCAATAAAGAATGCGAACTTTAATAAATTTCAAATTTATATTATTTTAATTTTTGATGCTATTATATGATTGTTTTTTTTTAATTAGTTAACTAAAAAAAAAAAAATTTTTATTTTGACAATTCATCTTTCAAAAAATGAAACCCAATAAATGTTTCAAAAAGAATAAAATTGAGCGCTATAATCAATGAAATAATAAAATAGAATGTAGCGACAATTAATCTAAGATGATTAATATATACAAATACACAAAATATTGCCAACAGTAACAACGTTCCAAGATTTTTCAATAAGAAATGCCTTCGATAAGTGAAAAACCTCGTATTGTTTATATTCATTCTAATTTTGATATTCAACAATATTCAACACAATTTGAATTACAAAGTGAACGCAAATGTTTATTTTTTCTTAATATAATTAATCCATTCAAAGATGAATATAGTACTACAGATGAATCTTTACATCAAACAATAGTTAAAATATTATTAAAACATCTGAAAACAGAAATACGTTCACAATATAATTGTTGGCCTATGTATAATATACCATCATCATCACTTTCACTGAAATACCTTTACACAACAAATGAAAATAATAAGCATGTTTTACCATCGGATATTATTTGTAAAGGTAAATTATTTAGATTTTAATTTATATGAAATATGGTTTTTATTTTGTATAGAATATTGTCATCTTCATGGTATTTGTTGGCAATCGATTAAAGCTGATAAATCATTATATGATAAAATGCGTGAATATTTAAATAATTTTCGTCTAGAAATTATCGATGCACTTAATGAAAATAAATTACGAACAGCAGTCAATGAAGAATCAGAACAGTAGATAAATAACTATGAACAAATTAAAAGTTTCGTTCTTTTTAAATATCTATATATGTGTGTGTGAGTGTGAGTGAGTGTGTGTAACAATATGTATTAAAAATACAGAAACAGTGTTCGCTTCCTTTTTCTTGCTTCAATTCTATTTTAATAGTCATTAACGGCAAAAAAAAAATTTTTTTCTATCCAGTAACAGTCATCATATGAATAGAATTTCTTATACAGTTTTTATCTAATAGCAATTTTAGAAATTCTTTTCAAAATATAGATTTCAATTCATTATATTCCTATATTTACTGTCGAATGATTTATGACTTCCAGCTTGCTGGCTACGACTAAAGAAAAATAAATTTGCTTTTCTTTTTTAATATTAATATTATGTCTTTAAACATTGCAGATGAAATTATAAATGATAGGTCGTAGTGATATTGAATAGTAATTCTAAAATATAATAGTTTGCTAAAAATAGAGAAGAATTTTTTCCAGGTACTATTGTCTGAATGAACTAGAAAAATTAGATTATTTTCTTTTAAATATTTTGGATTACTGCTGAAGAAAATTTATATACCATATTAATTAGTTATCATTGTATTGGAATACATATTTTATAAAATATCTATGAAATGTCTATGGGTAAGAAAACAACAATACAAAATGTGTTCAATATATGAAAAATTTCATCATGAAAACTTATTTTCTACTTCATCAAAGTTACAATACATAAGAAGAATTCACTATTCTTTTAAGGTAACTTTCTCAATTGTTGAGTAATGTATCGGTGTATAATGAGCCGTCGTTACTTACTACGGATGTAAGACTATAAACATTGATCGGAAATGTGTTTCCAGTCAACTCGAAACAATTATTTTTTTGCTAACAAGGAATGTAATCCACCGTTTGAGCTGATATTAGGCTAATAATGATGGTTTGACTATACTAGAAACAGTCTGAAAGTGTTTATTTCCATGGTCTTTCAAGCCGAGTTATGGGCCATTTTATGTATTTACCGAAAAATAAAATAATCGAATTTAGACCTGATATTCTGCCCGTTAGATAGATCTAATGTTTCTTAGAATATCCTGAAAGTTTCAGCTAAAAAGAATGTTCTTCTGTTAAGATATTAAAATTTTCAACTAAACTCGAGTTTTAGCATATATTTGCAGTACGCAAATACTTTTTGAAAATTCAAAATCACGATCAAGGAACATTCTTTTCAGCTGAAACTTTCAGAATATTCTAAGGATCATTAGACCTATATACGGGTAAAAGTTTCATTTTGAAATTCTATTATTTGATTTTTTTACTAAATATTTACAACAATCTAGCAGAAAATTCAGGACAACGACTATAAAGACCCATAGAAAGGAACTTTCTTAGGCTTTTGCTAGTCCTGCCGAGATCATCTTTCGGATCTCATAATGAGTTCAAATGGCCCGTTACAGTTGGGATAATTACATCGTTAGTACAGGCCAATGATTTCACGCATAATCGAGTTTCACTGAAATTGGTCGGAAATATACGGGAAACATCATCATATCCGGTAGGAAAATATCGGAAATTTATGGAATATAAAAGTAGTATTCCGAATCGGAAAGTCTCCCGGTCTTTTTCGGTAATTTATGATTGTTTCCTGTTGAAAGTCATGGGAAAATTCCGGAAACTTTTCGATTCGGAATGCTGCTACTGAGCTTCATCTATTTATCATGTTTTCCTGCCAGAATCGGCCCACAGTTCTTAGTTTGGGTAGAACAATAAATGAATATGTCACAAATTAATAGGTAAAATTTGGAAATGAATTTCTTGGAGTAAATATAGCTATTCAAAGTCATTTGAGGTCAGTCTAAATGAAAACGCTTATACAGATAGAAAATTGCTGTAAATGAATCTTCTGTATAGTAGAACGAAATATCGTACCGAGATTTGAAACGTGACAAAGAGCAAACTTGATGTTAACGGCTCTCACAAAACTCGACAAATACATTGATTAAAACACAAATTCATTGTGTATTTATTATCTATATACATCATTCGCATTTAAGAATATAAGATGAATACTAAAGAAAATTTGACAATCAATCCTTTTTAAAACTAAGAATTCTTTTTTTTTTTTTGTTTGAAAAAGCTTTTTCTACTGCAAAAATTGATCTGAATATCAAGAGAAAATTCATTTAGATCATCGAGAAATCGAAATACTAGTCAAAATTTAGTTTTTTTATTAGAATCATCTAAAAGTGTCACATCGAAATTTTGAGTGCATTTTAGTTGAGCTGATGAAAAATTAACCAGATTGTATTGCAGAACACTGATAATGTTATTGGAAAGATATCATCGAAAATCGTTTATATCAAGTTGATCTTCAAAAGATGACAATGGATTAGCGGAGTTGTCCGTGTTATGCACCAAAAGATTAGCTATCGAGAGCTGAATAAAATTAACTGTTTACATATCATATTTCCATAGACTGATCCAGAGTCGTTTGCCAAACATTGTTCATGACTGTCAATCTTCAAGTGAAAAGCGTGCCAAATTCTTCAAATGTATCAACTACCATTTAGGCATGCTAAAAGACAGCGCGCATGGTCTCAAATATGCGATGCATTTTTCCTCCTCTAAATGACTGTACAAAAAGATTTAGGAAGAAAATTACGCTTTAGTTGAAAAATGGCTCACATTATTGACAATGTATTCCACATTTATAAAAAAAAAAATTACAATGAACGTTTTTCTTATTTAAGAGAACAAAAATTTGAATAGTCTATGAAGAAGATCGAGGACTTAGTGTACAATTATGATGGTTTTCAATGAATATAAGGTCAATAATCAAATATTAGATGGTCGTATTGATGCATGAAAATGCATGCTAATCTTCAAAATAACAGACTACGCATTCATTATCTTTTTGTTTTTCAGCATGGGCTGGATCGTCTAGTTATGCGTGCAACTATGAATATATGTAACGAACAAAGTTGAATAGAAAGGAAACATATTTGCCGGGTCAGCATGTATTCGATGTCCTTTTCTATTCTATTTCTGTCTCGTTTCATACGACATTATGAGTGTCTAAAATTAGCGAATCGGTCTTATGAGATATGGGCAAGTGAAGTCATAAAACATATGTATATTTATATATAAATATATATAGAGAGAGGGTTATTATGAACTTTAGGTTTTACTCCTAATTTGAAATGGAAAAAGAAATAGTAAATATTTTTATAAATTGAATTCAAAATTAAAGACGATTGAAAGACTTTGTAATATATAAATAAATGATCTTTTACAATTTGTATTGGTTATATCATTTTCCAATGATCTGGGTTTTGTTTTTTTGTTGTCAGAGCTGTACTTAAGATATTTATTTATGCATAGATTTCTTCTAAGCCAGTTTCTTATTACATTATTGTGAAACTTTGTTATAAAATCATGCTGAACATATGTTGATTGAAAAATATAATTCCTTTGTGGAAAGTACCACGGATGATTCATAAATTAATAAAAGCTCTGTTTTTAATCAGAAAGAAATATTTGTAGTATTTTTTTTCCATTTATGTAGATTGAAAGGTGAATGTTGTAAGTCATTTTTCGACTCATTCTAAATTTTCTGTCTAAAATTTTTTGTACAGTCGTTTAGAAGAGGAAGAACTGTATGACATACTTGAAAATTAGCGTGCCGTCTTTTATAGCAACTAAAGTGCAATCGATACACTGAAAAATATTGCTAGGCTTGTCACTTGAAAATTGACCAGTCATGAACAGTATTTGACACACAACTCTGAATCAGTCCATGAAAATATGATATGCAAATAATTAATTTTGTTCATTTGATATAAACGATTTTCGATGATATTCTTTCAATTACTTCATCAGTATCTGATAATTCAATTCGACTAACTTTTCACTAACTCAACCCAATGTACTGAAAATTTCGATGCGAAGCTTTTAGATGATGCTGATTAAGACGAGAATATTAAATCAGAAAACTAAATTTTTGACGAGTGCACTGTTAAAATATTTCTTCAGTCTTAATCAAATTCAGCATACAGGACATAGAATATACAGTAAAAATTATGATAATGTTCTATTTTCGATTTCTGAAAATTTTACAAAATTCAGATGTTCTGTCATAGTAAATAAATAGATCACACGAATAAAAGAAGGTTCTTGTTTTCTGTAAAAATGATATTGATGTATATGCTAAAAAAACGATTATATTCATGAAGCTAAAAATAAATAAACATTAGTTTGATATATAGACCGATCTTTATCAATCATATATGCTACTCATTTCAAAGAAGAGAAAACATAGTAAATATTTTGTCATCTTTTTTTGGCAAAACTGCCGATTCAGACAGTTTACTCTTTTTATACTAGTAGTTTTTGATTATTTTTTCTATTCATTTGGTATCATTTGTCGTAAAAATATCAATTTCATCACAAAAAAAGACAACTTTTATGCATTACAGTATGTTTTGTTTGATATAGATGCAGTTATTTCTCTTGGTTTTATATTTCGACTAATGAATAGTTTTTTTTTTGTGTCATTTATACTAAACAATCCAGCTCGTAAATTAAGTCAGAACAGTTGATATGGCTATTACACATCACTTCGACCTGTTCACACACTTGAGAGCGTCACTTCAACTAAGCTCTTTGTTACAACACATTAGAGATGTAACTTATCGTCGTTCTCAGTAGTGATGCTTAGTAAACTACGTTATATCTCCGGAATTTTACTACTTCATATGCAACACACCCTTAAGTAGAAAAGAGAGTAATGAACACAATATAAAATAATGCAGAGAACATAATGAGGAAAGAAGAAAGGAAGATCAGCGGGACATGACATCAATATTGACACAATCTGACATTCTCCAGAGAGCTAACAAAACTGCGTATATCGAGGTATTAAAAGAAAAAGTAGAACAATCTCGATGAACTGAACGATTATCGTGACACGAGTATGCTAGAAATAGCAACATAACATGAAAAGATTTTACAGTGCAAATC